TAGCTTGGTCTCCTTGATTTTTAACCACGACAATAAGGTACATACCTATAAGGCAAGACTGGTTGCAAAAGGCTATAAACAAATTCATGGGGTAGACTATGATGAAACCTTTTCACTAGTTGAAATGCTTAAATATGTTCATATTTTACTTGCTATCGCTACATATCATGATTATGAAATATGGAAGATGTATGTCAAGATCAGGGAATCTTCTAGAGGATGTGTATATGACACAACCTGAAGGATTTGACATACCAGAAGAATCCCAAATTATATGCAAGTTACAACGATCAATCTATAAATTGAAGCAAGCTTCCAGAAGTTGGAATCTTTGTTTTGATGATACAATAAAATAATATGGATTCATCTAGAATGAAGATGAGCCTTGTGTCTATAAGAAGGTTAGTGGGAGCATGATCTTCTTCCTGGTATTGTGTGTAGATGACATATTACTCATTGGAAACGATGTCCCTACCTTGAAACAAGTGAAAACTTGTCTAGGGAAATGCTTTTCTATGAAGGACTTGGGTGAAGCATCCTATATATTAGGAATAAGGATCTATAGAGATAGATCACAAAAATCTCTTGGCCTAAGTCAGAGTATATACATAGACAAAGTGCTAAGACGCTTTAATATGCATGACTCTAAGAAAGGATTCATACCTATGCAACATGGCTTGTGTCTATTGAAAACATATCCCTTCAACTAAGGAAGAAAGATATCACATGAATAAAATTCCATATGCATCTGCAATAGGATCTATCATGTATGATATTTTATGTACTCGACCATATGTCTCGTATTCCTTAAGTGCGACGAGTAGGTAGTAATATGATCACGGTGATGCTCATTGGGTAGCTGTCAAGAATATCCTTAAGTACTTGAGAAGGACTAAGGAATCATTCTTGATATATGGAGGTCTGGAAGAGCTTGATGTAATTGGATACATCGATGCTAGCTTCCATATAGACAAGGATGACTTTAGATCATAATATGGTTATGTGTTATTATTAAATGGTGGCGCTGTGAGCTGGAAAAATTCAAAGCAAGATACAGTTATTGATTCTACAACTGAGGTTGAGTATATTGTTGCCTCAAGTGCAACAAAGGAAGCTGTTTGAATCAAGAAGTTAATTAGTGAACTTGGCATAGTCCATAGCATTGTGGATCCCATTGATCTTTATTGTGATAACAATGGTGCTACCGCACAAGCTAAAGAGCCTAGATCTCACCAACGACCCAAACACATACTTAGGAGTTATCACCTCATTCAATAGATAATAGATCGGGGAGATGTGAAGATATAAACAGTACCCACACTTGACAATCTTTTTGACCCGCTAAAAAAGCCTCTTGCGCAGCAGAAGCATGATGGCCATACTAGATCTATGGGTATTAGAGGTATGCCTGATTGGCTCTAGTGCTAGTGGGAAATTGTTAGTGTAAGCCCTAGGTGCCAATACTTTTGGTACTTGTATGGAATTATTTATTAATAATAAAAATCATTTTTATTATGTTTGTTTTTCCAAAATAATAAAGTCTCTAGAGTAGTTAGTTAGTTTAATGAAATGTTAAGTGCGACTTAATCATGAGATCCCATTAAACATAAGGACACTATTCTTAAATTATCCATAGTCGAGCTTTATTGTGAAGTGGGATAACATTAAACATTGAGGCTATTATATAGATAGATTGGTGATTACATCTCATGGATCATAGATAAGGAGTTATCAATTCTTGACATAGCTATGAATATTAGGAGTAATATTTATACTAGATTGATCCACTATGAGAATACTACATAGAATTTTATGTAAAGTGTCATAATTTATTCTCATGGTGATAATGGTGTATACCACCCTTCGACCTGAAACCATTATGGACCCTAGATTTAGAGTAAAGTACTTTATTAATGATCAAATGTTATCCATAACTGAATAACTATAAAGAACGTTGATGGGTAATTCATGAAGCATGTTGATGGACATGAGTGACCTAAATGGAATTTGCCCATCCTGCATAACGTGATAAATGTCTAAGGGCCCAATATTGAACTGGACAAGGGTGACACGGTTTATTCCTTGTGTTCAATATATACATAAGGGAAAAGGGTAATTATACACACAAGTATTATTACGAAAAGGTTTTGTCACACTACATGATATTTTTGTGACTTGGGTAGTAGTGATGTGTTGCTAGATATTGCTCACTGTTTATTATTTTAAATATGTGATTTAATATAATTGCCAATGTCACGAAAACCTTCAAGGCCACACACATAAGGATAAAATGATGAGAAATAGACTAAATAAGGAACACCGTAAGGTACGATGCACTTAAGTGAATTGTAGAACACCATAAGGTATGATACACTTAAGTGGAATACAAAATATGGTAAGGTATCACACACTTAAGTGATATATAATACATCATAAGGTATAATGCCCATGGACTTAAGTGTGCTTTTATCTTGAAGCCCACAAAGGTGGTTCTATAAATAGAACCCTTTTGCAGAAGTATTTGACTTGATGAAAATTCAGTATGTGAAACCCTAACTGTATTTTCTCCCACTCTCTCACTCAAAGCTTTTATTCGTAGTATCTAGCACTGAGACTAGAAAAATATGTTCGTGTAGACTGAGTAGAGGTATTGTTCTTCATCAACGCTCGTGATCACTCCTTCGATTTTGAATCAAAGGTCTAAATAGCCACAAGAGTTAATAATTACTATCACTGACTGTTGTACCCCAAAATTGACCCTCTTTATTTTGACCTTTTTGGTTTACATTTCATTATTACATACATGCATATCATTGGTTTTATGGTTATGGAGTCAAGGTATATTTCTCAAGCTTCTTCAGGTTACAAGTGACGTTTATTTCGTCAATGGATGTTCTCAGAGTATTTTTCATGCTGAAGATCGGTTCGCCGTTTCGCAACGATTCAGGGTTCAAAGATTCACGAGTCCAACCCGACGCGTCATATTCAGGTGTTCTTTCACCAAGGTATCCTTGATAACATATTCTCAAATTCAGGTTCGACTCGAGAGTCAATTCATTAAAGAAGGTCTCCGAATGTGCGATTTTTCTCGAAGAAATATGGTGAAAAAGTGTGCTGAAAGTGTAGTTTTTACGCACTAAAAAATACATAACTTGAAGATCGTAGCTCGTTTTGAACCTGTTCTGGTGGCCAAAATTCTGTATTGACGTCATCTACATTTTCATCTCTCACGGCTGGAAGCTAATTTCGATCAGAAGGTCTTCAAAAAATGCGGATTTATCAAGCATTTTCGTACAGAAAATTTGTGACAGAAGTTTATTTGCGTCATGTTCAGAAAATCATAACTTGGTCGATTTTCATCGTATCGAGCTGGTTCCGACGCCAAAATTTCAAAAATTGAGTTGACTACATTTTCAACGGAGGTATCGAGTTCAAACGTGTTATACCCATATTTTTGCCCATAAGATCCTTCACCATACTCTGTACATCTCACACATAACATTGGTCTCATGGTTATAAGATCGAAGAGCTTTTACATTAGGGTTTCTCTCTCTGAATTGAGGTTATTACCTTACTCAAAGTTGGTTCAACTGGCATTCTCATCATTCTTGGTTTCATCATGCCTTGCAATTAAGAAGACCACGAGCTAGGGTTTTGATTCCTCTCAATACCTCAAGTCGTCTCCTCATCATCATGTATCTAAATCAAGAGAATTGGGGTTTCCTCCCAATTGTCTTCACCACAAGATATTACTTTCAAGAAGTTTAAAGGATTGAATCGACATCTTATTCTCATTATGATACTTATCAGTGGATTATGGTTTTTACCCATGGTGGTTGAGTTTGTCAATGTTTCAAATGAAGGTCATTGGATTTCATACTTCAAGTCTTATCATTTGTCTTCAACCTGTTTCTCAGGGCTTTAATTTCGTTGCATGATTGTTGGTTATCAAGCTAGGATGCCTTTATGGTTTAAAGTTCAAAACATGAATCATGGCACAAAATGTGAAATTGTGGATTCATTGGGAGCAAGGCATTTTTTTCTCTAGGAGAGTTATTGTGGTCAATGATTTCTTTGATATGTCTTTTGATTGGTTGAAATATGGACTAAGGTCACCAGTTATTCAATTAAGATAAGTTTCTCCAATTGCAAGGTAATGTGGACTCAAAATTAAGGGGTTCATCCAAATGTGCTATGAGTTCGATGTGACGAAGTGGCTCAAGGTTTTGGTTCATAGTTCGCTATGGCGTCAGTATTGATATGTCAAAAGAAATTAAAGTGCAAGATTAGAACAGTCATGTATGCAGATGTCTTAGATAAAGAAAATTCCAAGGTATACGTCATTATCAAATTCATTTAATGATTATCAGATGTCATCAAAGATGCAATTACAAATGTTCATTAGGATCATTGAAATTCGACTTTACTCAAAGCTTCATTCATTAATAGAGTTCAATTTAAAAATGTGAAAGATATCAATATGCCTTCATTATAAGGTTACTCAATATTTATTAACCATAGGTCATGGGTTCCAGTATTACATTCAATTGAGCATTGAAATTCAAATACCTCCATATTCGTTCAAGTTTAGTTCTTTGGAATTCAAGAAATAAGGCAAATTGTTCATATTTTACAAGATATTACATCAAGAAATTATTCATAAGACATATGCATAATCCTAAACCTAATGGCTACCATGTTTGTGCTTCCATCTCCACCGATTCATATCTACAATTTAATCTTCATGCCTCGCCTTCGAACGTCTCAACCATATTCCTATGCTTCCTCCCAACTTGGCCAAAACCGATCAACCATGCTCATATACCAAAATAGCCCTTTTTCAATCAATTGACACAAGCCCACATGAATATCAGGAGCATGTCATGCTGCAAACATAGGAGAAGAAAAATGAGTAAATTCATATGCAGCCCTGTAAAACTGATTAGCCGAAAACACAATAAACCAGTTCAAACAGTTCTTGGCCGCCTAGCCTCAAGCCATTATCCTAGCATGCTAGTGATAACCAAACTGCAGTTCATCTGATAAACAAGTTCAGGGAAGGCCAGTTGAAGCCGGTCCTCGCAAAATGAGCCCCTGCACCAACATCCCAAACAGTTAAATTGGAGGAAATCTATTTATAATTAAAGGGTACCAGTTTCATAACAACTCTTGGTGTGCAGTAATTTGATAACAAAAAAAGATCATTAAAATAGTTTGAAACTCAGAAAAATCAGGAAATGCATAAATAGAATAAGATTCGAGTTTAATTCTCAGCTTGGCCTGTCAAGAAAAACATGTCAGAAGGTTCTAACAGCTCCAGCAGACCGACAAACTTTCTAATCAAATTCATTTCTACTCTCTAACTAACCAACTAACAGTATTAACTGTTTTCAAAATAGAGAACTTACTTTCAACCATCTAACTGTTTTCTAATTGTATAACCAATTCATAATAGAATAGTCCAAGGGGTAGAGGTTTTGTAACAGAATTGGGGGAGGGCTACAACTTTGTAACAGAATGGCTAATAGAATCGTAACAGAATTGGGGAAGCTAAGAGATTGAAAATAGAATAAAAAGACAGTTTAGTAATAGAATGGGGGACTCACCTTTCAACTATCTCATGGAGGTTCCATCTTGAAGGTTCACTCTCTCTTCCACACTTCAACCTTCAACAAGATTACCACAAAAATAGCTTCATCTTCATTTTTCATGACGATAACAGAAGACCACAAATTCTCTCCATCTTGATAAACCTTCATCTCTCAAGAACTCTGGGGGATTCATCTTGATCTCCTTCAACTTTCTATTCATTTTTTCTCCATTCAGAACCTCTTCTTCTCTACAACTCTGTAACCGCATCACTGCTTCAATCACCTTCATCACACGGCGTCATCTTCATACGATTTCAAACTTCTACTTCATACTTCACGATTCCCTCAATCATCATTGACCTCCAAACCAAGCATCACGCATCAGATTCTGCACCGCCAATACAAAAAACCGCAAGCATCGATGTCAACATTCGTACAAGACACAAAGCTGAAAGACGAAGAAACAGAAGAAAATTAGGAAAGAGGAGACGTAAAGAATTCCGAAGAATACCTGCTTGTGTGAATCTCAAACACCTCTCCGTCGCCACCGTCTTGAAGTAAGCATCGTGAGGTATTGTTTCCGCTTCTTTTTTTCAGCGTTGTATTGTGATTTAGAGGTCGATTCGCCATCATCTTGCGCGATTTCCATGGATTAGCAAACCTAGGGTTCAATACCCCTAATTTTTTTTATCCCCAAAGTTGAGTGGAGATGAGGATGCTGGCGTTAGAGCGATAAAGATGAATTAGTGAACGAAAGGCGTGCGATGATCGGAGAAATGGAGATTGGAGTGAGCCGCCGCATCGGTTTGAGAAAGACGAGACGAAGAGGGTTTGTTCATTCAAGGGAAAGTGAAAGGCATAATGAATGACTAATTCCCAAATGTTGCCATTTTTCTGTGGTCCTTTTTATTTAGTTTTTCTGTATTTAATTGATAATGGTCAAATAATGCTTAATAATAAAAAATGTTGTTAAGGAGTCAAAAATTTTGAAACTGCTGTTGGTATGGGCTTACGGACCGGAACTACACTCTTTAAGCCCATGTTTCTTTTTTTTGAAAGACAAGTCCTTTAGTCCAAAAACTGGGTTTGGATCACCTTACGCCGGGACTGATATCCTGGCAATTTCACTGAACTAATATCCCCCTGATTTCAACTTTACCCCCTTTTTGAATCTTTCTAACTTATTTAGTTTTAAAGTTTTGTGTTCTTGTTTAATTTTCTTTTTGATACGAACGGTAATAGAATGTATGATAAAACAAAAAAATGTGGAGAATTTAGTTTTTTTTGTTATATGATAATAAACTATAAAAAATAAAAAAATGTATATATTTAGGCTTTGTATTTTACTATTAGAAATTAATGCCCAACCTTTTTTTTTCTTCCGATTACTTGAGACTTATGATCCAACCTTGCTTGTTGAGTTGAATCTTATGCAGGTTCATTGTTCTATATGCGGATGTACTCAGATTATTATTGTGATTTATTTTCACATCGATGAAACTTGACATCTATTCCGAATATTCGATCTCTGACTGTTTGTTTGTTGATGCCAGCTCGCGCAAAGTATTCCGAGTCTCTTTCCTTTGGTTGCGCTTTTTGCGGACTTTATTGTTCGTTTGGTATTATACTGCTTCCAAGTTATAATTCCGCATTTATTGCTTTCTAGATATCATGAGATGTAGGAAATAAAGAGCGTGCGCTCGAAGTCGTTGTTTAAAGACCTGTAGCAGGCATTCTGCACTTCATTTCTTATATGTGTTGTGCTTGTGTTTGTTCCCTTTCTTGTTGATTGACGAGTCACTAAATTTAGCAATTGAGATCACGACTTTGCTCTCAGTGCATGCTCCCTATAGGATTTTATCGCTTTCCTTTATTTTTTGTTGATCGATGAGTCACTCAATTTAGAAATTGAGATCACGACTTCGCTCTCAGTGCATGTTCCCTATAGGATAGTTTGTTAGACTTTCTTTGGTATGCTAACTTAGATAGGATACCCTCATTGTCTGATAACATTAGGTTAGAGATAGGGTAGTCTCCCTTGGATGTTCTCTTCCCATTTTTGCATAATTGCACCTAAAACTAAAACTTCTTTTTCTTGGCAAATGTATAAAAAAATGCTAAGCATACAAAAAATTCTTTTCATGGTGAAAAAATACCAACCAATCCATCTCTTTTCGCCATTCATATTTTCTCTTCTAAGAGCATGTTAGCTCCTTTCCACTATAGGTCATAAGTCTCCAAAGTTCGAGTAGCGGCGGAATGATCGATGCAACATTGTTCATTTAAAAAATACAAACCAACAAAATATATGAGCCGAACTACGACGCTCTGATTCCTTAAAGGGGATACGTAGGCATCTGGTCACGGGGCTCAGCCGAGTGAAAATTCTAAATACTTCCTTATTTTCCCCGTGTTTTCTTTGCATGCATTCTCTCTTAGGTTATAACCCTTAAGTATTAGATTGAACACACCCTTTGATTAGAATAACGAGAGTGGATCACGTAGAGTACTATGAATGTGTGGGGTGCTAATACCTTCCCCTCACGTAATCGACTCCCTTACCCAATCTCTCGGTCGCAAGATCTTGATTTCCCCAACTTGACGTCATCTACATTTTCATCTCTCACGGCTGGAAGCCAATTTCGATCAGAAGGTCTTCAAAAAATGCGATTTTATCAAGTATTTTCGTACAAAAAATTTATGACAGTTAATTTGCGTCATGTTCGGAAAATCATAACTTGTTCGATTTTCATTGTATCAAGCTGGTTTAGGCGCCAAAATTTCACAAATTGAGTTGGCTACGTTTTCAAAGGAGGTATCAAGTTCGAACAATATCCAAAAGGCCTTTGGTTTTTTCCCAGAGTGCGCGTGACGCGCCGAAAATCCTGAATGCTGAATATTATTTCATCTGGGTCGAAACTTCGAAAATTCATAACTCGGTTAATTTTTATCGGATCGGGCCCATATATTTACACAAGGCCACTGACTCAGAGATCTACAACTTTTCTTCCAAAGTCGAGACCAGGTTCTTCTCTGATCAATACCAATTTTTTATTGAAGAACGTGTCAGAATTGACACTGGAGCCCAAAATAAGTTTGTCTGAGAGAAAACTTCAAAAATTCATAACTAATTCACTGTTTATCCAACTGAGCCCATTTTCGGACAGGAGTTAGTTCTCGATGTCGGATACATTTTTTTTTCACATTTGAACTTCAAAAATTGCACTTAAGCCCCTGCGATTTAGCCTGGAAGGTGACAGACTCAAGTGAATAAAAATCTGCACTATTGCTTGTGGTTATTGGAGGCCCAATTGCACATTTAAAGCCCATTTTTCTCTAATTTCCATTATATAATCTCATTCTTTTCACACAAACAAGACGAGAAAAAAAACCTTTGCCACAACCCTTTCAAAATATCAAATTCCTTCAAGAACCCTAAAAACCTTAAAATTCTTGTTACAAACCCACATCTCACTACAAACAAGTCATTCTTGTTACAAACCCCCATCTTACTACTTCTCCAGTAAGGGTAAGGTTGGTTTGATCTCCATGCTCAAAAGGATGTAGAAGCATTCATACATGCCATATCACTTTTAACATTACAAAATTTCATATATTTGCTTTATTTATATTTCATGATATAGTAATTTATTTAATGTGTTCATGAGATTCAACACTGCAGATTTAGACAGGGTCCTATGCAGGTTTATTACAAAACGCTGAGGCCAAAACACTAAAACAGAACAACAACCAATGCATGGCTCATGGCAAGGCTGACATCCTCAGAACAACAACTAAAACAGAACATCATTATCATGTAATTTCTTTCGGGATGTAATAGTTTTAGGATATCTTTTCCACACTCTTCACTATTATGTAACTGCCCCAAAGCTCTGTAATAGCTTAGGTTTACATTTCCACATTTACCTTCTGCTACTATATTTTATGCAATTCTTAGATTAATAAGTTTGTATGGAAATATAAAAATGAACGATAGAAAACCCTAATTGCAAGATAAATATAACTGGAAAAAAACATTGTTGCACACTTGCACCCCTAGGGTACTCCCCACTTGGTTGCCTCGGAAAACAATGGTCATGTCCCTTGAACGTAGGGATATCTTAGCAAAAGACCCTCAATATAAAAGTCTTCATAAATATCATAGTCCCTTAACGTCCCTCGAGTTGCCTACGAGAAATGATCTTGTCCCTCGATGTTGCCAATATGATGACAGTCCCTTCGAACTGCTAAGGTATCCCTATATGTTGCCTTCTATGACCATAACAATGACCCGCGCTTGTCCCTCATACATCCAACAATAGGGCTACCTACTCACTAATAGTAGGATATCACTGTCTAAAGGTTGGGAGGAAAAGAACGACCTTTTCGAGTATAAGTAGACAAGTTCTTAGATGCTTGCTTAAAATAACTTTTTACACCTAACAAAAATATTTCAAAACACTTTCAAAAACATTCGCCTTGTCAACACTCTTGAGGACTGATACATGAGTTATCACAAAGCGAATCTCCGTACTAAGGCATTTTCAAAACAATTTTCAAAACACATAAAGCACAAGCAATTTTCAAAACATGAGCTAAGTATCTAAGATCCCGTAGTTAACTACAGATGCAAAGGGTGCTAACACCTTCTTTTTCCATAATCTACCCTCCGCACTCAGAAAACTCTCAAAAGGTTTTTTTTTCTGTTCTTTTCACCCTTTCCTTTGTTGGATAAAAGAAAATCGGGGGCGACTCTTGCTTACCGCACATTTGCGAATACAAAACGTAAACCAGTATAACAGTCGGTTCTTCCACCGTATCACAGAACTGGCGACTCTGTTGGGGAGTTAAATAAGTGGGGTATACCTTAAGATCTAGGTCACTTTTAAAATTGCTTTCTTGTTTGCTTTGCCTGCTTTATATTCAAGGGTTTTGTTTGGGTATTATTGAAGATCCTACACCCGGATCGGGGAACACCTTTTAGGTAAGTAGGAATAAATTGTGAGGGAACTGTGCGAGGTATACCGACACGGTTGAAGCAGTAGCTACGTTGATGAGACACTTTGGTTGGTACCGGTAGCCCTTGAGTCAATCAAGGAGAATACGGGGCCGCTGCGTGGTGTCATAAAGCATCAACTGACCTTAGAACCTTTAATTGCAAAACTTGGCCAGTAGGACGTAGTGAGATGGCCGACTTTGGTGTATTCCCAAGGTCGACAAATACTCGATGCTACACTCATTGAGGTTCGACTCCTGAGTTTCGTTTGGTTGCGAGTCAATCTCTTATTGAACGAAGCTTGGGGGGAAGATCAGTGATATTGAGATCCCTTAGAAACTGGTTACTATTTGCATGACAGGTTGAACCAATCCAGCTTCCAGAGGGTATGACCTTAAAACTCATGCAGGCCTTAAAACCTAAGGCTACTTGTGTGACTTGTTTGCTTTCTTTTCCTAACAATTTGAACTCATTACAAGGCTTTGTTTGTATTCCTTGCAGGACCTTGTTTGTATACATCCAATAAATTGGTTTCTTACCCTGCATTTTTGCTTAATGCATAGCATACACATCATAGCATCATACCAAAGCATTTCCTTAACCATTTCCAGGATCTCAAGGGCATGTGATGCAGGTT